CCACACTTGTAGCAACCCTCATTGGTCTGTTTCTCAAGAGCTCTTGTCTTGTTGAAGGTTGTACCTCTTGAAGAACCATTTCCTCTCATCAGGTACTTTTTGAAATCTCTAGTGATCATAGCCATCTCATCATATTTCAGATCTGAACCTTCAGCAATTCTGAGAGCTAAGCTTCTCTCCTTCTTGGGGGTATCCATCTTCATGGTTTGCCTTCTCATTTCATAAGCAGTCAGATTTCCAATCAGTTCATCCAGTCTGAGAGTAGCAATATTCTTGGATTCCTGAATAGCAGTGATTTTGCTTTCCCATGTGACTGGCAGAACCCTTGTCAAAATTTTCTCAACCTCGTCTTCTTCAAGAATAACCCTTCCAAGAGACTTAAGTTCATTTGTCAGTGTAGTGAACCTAGTATACATCTCCTGGATAGTTTCTCCTTCCTTCATAGTAAAATTCTCATATTAAGAATACAGCAGTGTTCCTCTTGATCTCTTTACTTAAGGAGTTCCTTCATAAGCCACTTGTAAAGTGTCCCATATTTCCTTTGCAGTAGTACAACTTTGAATCCTGTTGTACTCGTCTGGACCCAGTCCACACACAAGCCATTTCTTGGCCTTGGCATTCTTCTCCCATTTCTTCAAATCTTCAGCAGTGCAGTCAGCTCTTGTCTTTGGCACATCCACACCTTCAGCATTCTTCTTTGTAGTTGCTAGAGGACCATCAGTGACTATGTTCCAGAGTTCATATTCTTCTCCTATGATGTGATCTCTCATCCTGTTCTTCCACCAAGAATAGTACTGACCATTAAAGAGTGGAGGCCTAGCAGTGGATTGCCCTTCCCAGTTACCGGGTGGTGCACTAATGTTGATCTTCTCCTAAGGTGTTAGCCTCTTCAAGGATAACCTGCTCTGATACCAATTGATGTTCTAAACGTCAATACCACACAAGAGGGGGGGTGATTTGTGTGGTACCCAATTTTCGCTCTAGAAGAACCTGGTTCTTCTAGGTGTACTTACTACTATTGTTTGCGGAATTAAGAGTACATAAAATAAAGAACACAGAGATTTTTACGTGGAAAACACCTGGCTCAAAAGGTGAAAAAACCACGACCTACTACTCAGTAGGATTTTCCCAAACATCCACTAAAATCGCTGAGCCAAAACAACATTTACAAAACTCTTGTAAACCTAAGGATTAAACTCTAATCCCAGTGTGGCACACAGCCTCAACTGTTGCGACACCTTCAAGTTAGCCTATAACTTGAATACTCAAAGTACCTATTACAATTGCTTATACAAAAGCTGGAAAGGTACAACTTTAAACCACCTACTACAATTGAACTAGAATAAGAATAAACACAATAGAATTGGTTCTTCTATCTTGTCCAAGTAGCTTCAGGAATGCACACTTGAATCTCATATAAATTGCTTGCAAAATTGCCTCGCTCTTTTGCTCTCAATTTAGTTTCACTTCTGCGTTTGTGCAATACTTGTAAAAGAGAACAATCACTGTTATTTAATGAGTTAGTAATCAGAGTTTGATTGAGACTCAATTGCTGATCTTCCATCGAAGTTGAGTCCTTGAACAATACAAACTCCAACCCTATCCTTTATCCGGATTGTGTCCTCTTCCCATAAGGATACTTTCTTTCCTCATCCAATATGCAACCTTTTCGATCAGTTCAGGAGATATTGCTGCTTTATCCTTGAGACTTATTTCCTTCACATAACACAATGTCTCACATGATGGACCTGGTCCATGACTGTGTTCATTTGTCATTCTTCAAAACTTCACCTGAACTTGGGCCAACAGAGGGTCCGCATCTGCGAGTCGTTTCCCGCACCTCCGGGCTTGCATTAGCGGCTAGCCAACCGCAGGTGCGGTTATGACATCAGCTGGAGCTTCAGCTCCTCCTCCAATTTTTCAACTTAACCCGAGCCTCGTCTGATTGATGCTCGGGGCCCCCGGTGCCTCGCCCAAACATACCGAAAAGTTTGAAATGATAAAATGGACTCGCTCGAACCCTCGGAATGCCGGAAATAACAGTAAAACTAGAAATCACACGCTAAAACCAATTGATTCAAACTTATGAACTTCAAGTTTTTCAATTTACTTTCAATGTGACGAAACACACTTATACTACTCAGATTGACACCAAATTTTGCCTGCAAGTTTTAAATGATATTATGGAACTATTCCCGAACTCGAAATTCCGTTCTGACCTCGATATCACAAAAATCCGCTCCAAACCAAGTTTAACGAACTTCAAAAATCCTTAAGGAATCAAACTTCCACTATTAGGTGCCAAAACGCTCCCGGATCATCCAAAACCCGATCCGGACATACGCACAAGTCTGAAATCATCATATGAATATGTTGGAACCATTAAATTCCGGTTCCGAGGTCGATTACTCATAATATTGATCGAAGTCAAACTTGGCCTTTTAAGCCAACCTTAAAGAACTAAGTGTTCCGATTTCAACCCAAACTCTTTCAAATCCCGAACCAACCATACCCCCTAGTCACAAATCAGTTAAAGAGATTAAGGGAAGTCTTATTTAGGGGAACAGGTTTCTAGAAAGCAAAACGACCAGTCGGATCGTTATAGAGAGAGAGAGAGAGAGAGAGAGAGAGAGAGAGAGAGAGAGAGAGAGAGGCAAGTTTAAATGGAAAAGAAAACAACTGATATTCCTTATTCAATTCCTAATAAAAAGGGATACTCATTTAGAACTTATTTGTATATAATTGGTAAATTGTATATGACCATGTAATTAAATTGAAACTTGAGTAGCGAGTGTAATAGGTATAGGAAGGCAAAATCCCAAAGCAAAGCCATATGAGACACACTCCTTTCCCCATTCTTCACTTCTTTCTTGTTTCTCGGTGTGAAGTCTCCATCACCATTCGCCAGCAACAATAAGTTAGTATGGTAAAGAAAAAGCATGTATGTAGACTAGATATCGTTACCCGTGCTGTGCACGGGCTCAACATGAAAATGTTAACGTGCCATGGTAGATGTAAGACTTGAAATTCAATCCTTCAAATTAACAATTTCGATAGTATGATTTAGCACAAAAAGAAGTACAAATGCCTGTATTGCCTTTAAAAAGTACAAATGAGATGTCGACATATCTTTCTCATTCAAACACACCCTGCCTCAATTCCATTAATCACATTTTCCATCCAACAGAGTCCACATTTGCCATCTAAAAGAGTGAACATTTTACAATGTTGATTAGAACACCCAAGAACGCCTTGCCCAACTAAAATTATCTTCTGATAGATAAGGAATCTAATCTAGTTGCAATATATGAACACATCAACGCTATTATTTCTCAAGATTTTCTCATGTACCTAGAAAAGCTCCAGCCCATATCAAAGAGACATTATTATTTTTTGCTTTACTAATGACCCTAACAGTACTTTCAGTATATTGGATAGCAAAAGCAACAAATCAAACTATTCATATCTATCTCCCTATAGAGTAAATCAACTAACAAGGAAATTTCAAAGTTCCCAACAACATTTTCAGTAATAGAACAGTTGCCACTGCCCTCAAGTTCATATGGGAGCATTATGTCTCTAAAATTTACTTTTGGAGTTTTTACTTCTACTTAGGACACTTCCTATGAATGTTGTTTATTTCAGAAAACTATATTAAACGGTTAATCATAAAGAGCAAAGAATCAATACCATTTTAATTGAAAATAGTCTACTACACCATGCAATCATTATTCTCTTAACAATCTTTTACAGAATTAGCATCTATAATATAGAATATAATGATATAATAGAAAGAAAGAAATAAACTAAACTGTCTACGACTTCTATTGCATCTAACTATTTGCCTTATTACCTGGTGCAAGAGCTGAGGATGAACGAATAAAACATGTGTATTAGTAAAAGCATAATACGCTTAAAAGAAGAGAATGAATATGAGAAATTATTTCCTTTCAAGTTTGCGAGGCTTCAATATATTCCTGAGATTGAAGTACATTTCCATAGATTTTCTTTAGAAACTCTTATCATGATTCGCATCAGAAGAACAGTCGAAAACAAATGCAGAACACATCGCAAAGCATAATGGGAGAATCTAAATACTCCCTTTGTCCCAATTAATATGATGCATTTCCGATTTTGAGAATCAAAATTCTCAATTTTGACTGCGAAATACATAAAACTTTTAATTTTTAATTTAAATAAAAATTACATATTTGAAAGCTACATAAAAGATATTATAAATCTTAATAGTTGATAATTCAAAATGTTTAAAGACATAAAAGAATCAATTAAATAGGCCCAAAAGTGGCAAGAGCCTACACGTGTTAAAAGCGGGTGAAATTCAAAAATAGCCAGATTTACAACTGATCGTTCAAAAATAGCTCAGTTTCAAAAGTAATCGAAATTTAGCCACTTTTCATGTAAAGAAAAATCTGAGCGAAAACACTGTTCAAAACCGGGAAAAAACTCCAGCATAAGTATACTTGAACTCCAGCATATTATACTGGAGTTCCAAGATAAGTATGCTGGAACTCCAGCATAATATGATGGAGTTCCAGCATAAGTACACTAGAACTCCAGCATAATATACTGGAGTTCCAGCAAGTATACCGGCCCAGCATAATATACTGGAGTTTGGAGCACCGGTGCTCCAGTCTCTTGTATATTATACTGGAGCCAGCAAAGTATACCGGTCCAGCATAATATGCTGGAGTTCATACACAGGTACACCGAACTCCAGTATATTATGCTGGACCGGTCTCTGCCGCAACAAAATAGTGGCTATTTTTCATTGACTTGGTAAACGCAGGCTATTTTTGAATGACCAATCCGAAAACTGACTATACCGTGATATTTTGACGTTAAAAGCCAATTAAACAGGCCCATAATTTCTTAGAACATATCTAGACCGGAGGGAATCTTGAAAGAGACAAAAAGATTGCAATTATCTCTGCTTTACAAAGAGGAAATGCCTCCAAGGCTTTCCTATTAGGAAGAGGAAATTAATCAATATTCAATAGCATTACACAAGCAAATACAAAGGTCTCACATGATTTAGTGTGAAGTTTGAAACATTATTGCAGCAACAAACATAAACAAATACAAAGGTCTCACAAGATTTATTGTTAGGCTTGAAACATATTACACAAGCAAACACAACAAATAATTCAAGTTTGTATGATAAAGTCCACAATAACTAGCAGTGTGAACTTTCACGAATTTCCCTCTTAATCACAGCGCCGCGCCCTCACCTGTCACGAAAAAGGGCAGAGCTAGTACGCGCAATACGGGTTCGACTGAACCCAATAGCTTTGGTCCAAACTCTGTATTTGTCTTAATTTTATTAAAAATGTTCAAATTATTAACTTAGAACCCACTAACTTAAACAGACTACAATCTCGAACTCATAAACTTCAAATCCTGGCTCCGCCTCTGTCACGAACTGCATCCAAAATCAATCATTAGGAAACTACCATACAATAGGTAAAATAATACTTCTTTGGTTCAAACTGCAGGACATAAATCAAACTAGTTTAAGCAGTAAAAGTTTGACCACACAATTTATGTAATAAACTTACTAGTGCAGAATCTTGGCCAAGGGACTCCTGAATTTGCTAGATAAAGATTTTGAATCCACCATTTCCCCTGTCATCAACTTGTTTATCCTGAATTTGCTTAGCTGATTCAGTGACGGAAAGGCTGCACCAACTAACTTCAATGCTTTGTATCGAACAGTTGTAACCGAAACAAGAAGGGATCTCCTTAAGCCTCTTACATCTTTGCAAAACCAGTTTCTCGAGACTAGGAAATGCATCATCAGAGACATCCCATTGCGAGATAACTACATCGTCCAGTTTCAACACTTTGAGTGCAGGGAACTCATCATCTTTGACTTCCCATTTTTCTCCCTCAAAGGCTTTAAGTAGCAACTTGAGTACCTCAAGGTTGGGAAGTCTTGCAATTATCAATATTTCTTTCCAGGGTAGGCGAAAATTTGAAAGTGTCAACTTCTTGAGATTCTCTGGGAACTTAAATTCACAGGGTTGTGACAGTTTTTTGCCATTAGAAAACACCTTCAGCGATTCCAGATGAACTAGAAAGTCCAATATGGGGAAACGAATGCAATCCTTTCTCAACTTCATCGAATAATAGACGGATTCCAAAAATCTACACTTCAACTTTTTGAGATTGGAGAACTTCCTCATCATTTTTTCCATGTTATCTCCATAAGCAAGAGATGGGGTCGAAAATGTTTCCAAATCATCTAATTTGGAAGAATTCTCAATGACCTCCTTTGTGAAACCAAAAGCAGCACGATCATTTATGTGCACATGTCTCAACCTTGCCATATCCCAAAGGCTGTCTGGTAATGTTATTTCCCCTCTCAATCCTTTAATTAGAAGTGTTTCCAAGTTTTCCAACTTGTATATCCAGGCGGGAATGGAAGTCATGCCAGTTCGAACAGCTAAAAATGTCAAATGAATTAGCTGTTCAATTTCATCTGGGAAGGAATCGAACAGGTTGATTCTCTCTAAATCCAACACCTTAAGGAGCCTGAAGCATTTAATGAAGGAGACAGACAGTACATTCTTCTCTACATTATTAGCTGTAATGAGAAACAAAGAGCGAACAGGGGAACCAACTAGCTTCAATGAGGCAAATGTGCCATTAAGACTTAATAACATTCGACGTCTCTCTAGATCTTGTAAATCAATATCGGGAGAATCCTTAGCTTGATGACTGGTAATGAAAATAAAGAATAGTGAAGAAAAGACTAATAATGATATCAATTAGTTAAAGGAATTGAGGATACAAAGGAATTTATGAATAGTACCTGTATGCATATTGCCAAAACTTTTCTTCTTTTGCTCTATTCTGACAAAATTCATGCAAGAGATCATGAATTCGGCACGATTTAACCCTGCCATTATATCTCATTTTTGCATCCATTACTAGGCTTCTGCTAATAAGATCGTCCAAGTATTCTTCTGCCATATCTTCTAAGCTCTTTGGTTTATGTTTTCTAACCAAGCCCTCGGCAATCCACTTCCATGTTAACTTTGAGACTGGAATTTCTTCATCTTCCATGAATCCTCCAAAGTAAAGAAAACAAGGTTTAAGATATTCAGGTAAATGCTTGTAACTTAACTCTATTATGCCTCTACTGCTCGAGTCACCAACTGTAGTAGTGCTTAGACTTTCTGCAACTTGTAGCCATCCATCTTCTTTAGTCCCCATCTTTCCAAGAAGACCAGCCACCAAAACAACTGAAAGGGGTAATCCTTGACACTTCTCTGCGATTCTTTTACCAACATCCACAAGTTCTGGAGGGCATTGTTGGTCTTGAAATAGCTTATGTACTAACAACATCCAACTTTCTTCATTATGAAAAAACCGGAGGCGCAAAGGATCTGTGGTACACTTGGCATATGAAGCTACTTCAGCATGACGAGTCGTTAGAATAATTCTACTTCCTTGCTTATCATCTCTAAAAGGAGTCTTGACATCATCCCATGCTTCAATGGTCCAAATATCATCCATGAAAATGAGGTACCTCCTTCCCATGATATTTCTCCGCAACAGGTCAGCCAAATCTCCCTCACTCTTTTCTTCAACATCTTCTAGAAGTGCAATATTGATTTGTTGTAAAATGTCAATCAACAATGATTTCTTTTCATAACTTTCAGAAATGCAGCACCACACACAAACATCAAAGCGCTTGACAGCTTTGCAATCATCGTATACTTTCTTGGCCAAAGTGGTCTTTCCAAGACCAGGCATTCCAAAAATGGTTATAACATCTAAGTCAGGGCATCCTCCAATTACTCTCTGCTTTAATGTTGCCAAAACATCTTCAAAGCCCACTACTGCTTCATTTATAGTTGGCTTCTCAATATGAGTGGAGATACGGGAAATCTCGCCAAGAGAATGTGTTCTGGAGTCATACAAGTCCCTGGTTGAGATCTTTATGACTCTTCCTTTGATAAGCTTTATATCTTCTATGATATCAGAAAATGTATGGTGCCAAATCGTGCCACCTCCATTAGCAACATATGAGTCAATGGCATATTCCACTTCATACGCTACACCTACCACTTTTTCCCATACACTTCTCAACTCAACATGCTCATTACGCTGCTGGGCAATTTTCTCAAGAAATTCTCTTAGAAATTTGAGCTCCCTTTGAATCGTCTCAATTTGACGCTTTAAGAGAACAATTCGGTCACCCTTAAAGTTTAAGATCTCTGCGAGATTTTCAACGAGTAAATCAAGAAAACCTAGTCCATCAGTCATGGGGAAATTAGTTCTTGATAGTTTTGGAATTATAGGACAAATTCCTCGGTCCTCTGCCTTGATCAACTTTATTTTCTGAAGCACATCCGAGAGTTGAAGGTCCATTCTTCCTGCCATCCCTTCAACATCTTTTTTTGAGCAATGAGACTCAATGATGGTATCTATTTCGGCAGCTACCACATGAACACAACTTAAAAGATGGTTTCTTCTTTCTTGCTTTGCATATTGCTCGGGCAGATCCAAGAGAAGCGTTCCCAGAAATTCAAGATCCATCAGAAGGTTATCAAAATTATCTTTCACAGGATCTACTATATTGATCTGATTCTTCAAGAGTTTCCTTAAACTGATCTCCGACTTGATGAGCTTTACCTTCACTGATAATTCAAATGGGCCATGAAACAACATTTCATCCATGTGCTCAGTCACATTTGTTATGTCACAGACGTTGATGACATGTTCAAAACTCTCAGATAAAGCTTCAACGTTCCTTGAGTGACAATCGCATTGCCAAAGAACATCTATTGCAATTGTTGTCAAGGCTTTCAGCTCCTCAGAAAGGATTGGGATTTCACCTTTCCAAGACACCGCTGAGTTGGGAATGGATTGCTGTAGATCCATCAGAAAGAATTCTGCCTTGATGAGTTTGATGATTACTGTCAGTTGAATAAGTGAAGAAGCTACTTGCGTTGACACCTCTTCTTCCTTCATTAGATCAAGAGGAACTGAAGGAGCTGCTTGATTCATCTTGTCAGATTGAGCCTTGACATATGTCAAGAGATCATCAAACTTTATATTCTCACTACACTGTCTCCGCAAATCCTTCAACAAAGTTATCAAGAAACTCTGGTCTTGATGGATGGTTTCAATTCGGAGAGCTTTAGAAATCAAGGACGTACTCCCTTTATCAGCAAGTTCCATGAAATTGTCGACAAGAGAATCAACAACGGCTACAACAAGCTCATTGATGTAGGGAGTACGATATTCTGATTGTGAAGAATGTGAAGCCTCTAGGGCTATGAGATAGTTGTCTCTCATCTCTGCCTCAAAAGATTTCATCCTTCTCAAAAGATCCGAAATTGCGTGACTCATTTCATGTTCCATCTTTTTACTTAACTTCTCAGGATAACACCAATAAGAAATGCATGCTGCTTCACCAACTAGAGCGATAATACGAGCCACGAGATTCTCCAGTCTCTCGGATTTGATGAAAAATATAGACGTCAACTTGAGGAATCCCCTGAGAAAGCTCAGCTTTACTTCAAATATTTCCATTTCTCTTATCACAGTAGCCTTAGGTTTGAGTCTACAGCTCACTAAAAACTTCATATTCAGAAGAAGAGTGCTGATAAATTCTATTGCAAGTTGAGTAGGCATGGGTGCACCCTGTGCCAGCAATGCCTTCTTGAAGTAGAGGGGACGATTGTTTTCTTCACACTGAAGATCAGAGTCATTCACGGAAGAACTCAGGAGGGAATGAGCACGTTCCACTTCTTGTCGAAGACCAAAATCTTTGACCATATAAGTCAGTTGTGATTCCAAGATCGACAGAGCAGAGTCTACTCTTCCGTATTTTGCATTAATACATGCCTCGTGAATGTTGGTTCCTATGGTTTTCATGGTTTGGTAGACAAGATTGAACTCCTCCTGCCCACTTGGCCGTCTCTTCAGAATGAATTGTAGATATTGAAGTCTTATATTGAGCTCCAAGGCCACATGTCTGATTTTTATCTCTCCATGCTTCTCCAACCACTTCATACACGTGAAGGGGTCTGTCATCAACTTTTGCTTTCTCCTTGAGTAATGAGTGCATAACTCTTGGATGCTCTGCCAGAAACCAAAGGAAGGTTAAATTAATACTTCATTGTATTTGCTAAAGCAATTGCATGTGTTGCTTTCACTAAAAAGGTACTTCTGCAAACCACATCAGCTATGAAAGTTGGTAGGAATGTTTTATAAGTCTTGTTTCTCTAAATGTACCAGAAGCAGGAATGTTAAAAGAACTATTAAGATAACGTAATTCACGACAAATAGGAAAGATATGACAAAAAAGGTCCTTTAATCCACTATATTCACTGCATACTAATCAGCTTGAATTTCGTTAATCTTGCTAACACCTATCAATGCATCAAAAACTTTCACCTTAGGTCCAATGCGCATAAATAAATAAAAAAGTGAAAGCAAAAAATGATGGCAAAGAGCAAGGAATTGGAAGCAGCTTAGGAATATAACTGTAAATAGCAATTTTATCATAGAACAAATACAGCAGGAGATTAAGTGTAGATTAGAGATGTTACAGCGAACAAAAAGAGCTAGTAGATATCAAGTGTTATTCCACAAATTATGTTATTAGCTGTTCTTACTATTAACAACATTTCTAGAAGGGGGTTAAAGTTCTAGGTGCTCTTTAGGTGAATCAATTTGGTTGTTGGTATGGTAATATTTCACATTTATTACCCCAAAAAAAATTCATGGCAAATAGTAAGAAATGCATAAAATACCTTTGGATTGATGGCAAAAGAGTGATTGGTTGCCCCTACTTCCTTTTCCATAACTTCAGCTCGTAAAACATCTATCCTTCTTATTGCTTCCTGTCCTTTCAATTTAACATTCTCAGTGCTCTGTGTTAACCGATCAGCTAATGAAGTCCCCAGATAGTGCAGAGTTTCAGACAGACTCTTGATTGGAAACTTTAAATTTTCCTTAGAATTGCATAACTCAACCACACTGTCTAGGACAAAGTCCATAAAATATAATGGAAGATCGTTTATTGAAGTATCAAAAGTCAACAACAGCTCTGAAGCTTTATGCAGACGGGTAAGAACCTCTCTGGCATCAATCTGGATTGCATCCTCACACCTAATCGATGAAGAAAGATGCCGCTCAAATCCCTGGGCAATTTCTTGGGGGATGTCATCAAGCCAATACAAACAATTCAGGCATGCCACTGAATAAGATATGTCACTGGTAAACCGCTGCCAGATATCTATGTTGTTTTCGCGCTTAGCAAACCCATCTCTAATGGACAAACGGAACCTTCTCTCGAATGTTAGCTTGAAAGAAAGAGACTTCATTTTCTCAAGTAGATCAGGAGCAAGACGATCAGCCATGCATTCGACCAAATCCTCCAAAGTATGTGAGACAATATTGAACATATCAAGACAATAGCTCCCCCACGGCTTCTTTGACTTCCATAACAGGACAAGAATTTCCCTGATCTTTGGTTGAATAGCTTTTCGTACTAAGTTACCCTCTATACCAATGTGACCATCAAAAAGCCTATTATTATTATAATTACAGCAAATCATAGACATATCACTTACTTGATTATTTATGAAGAAGAAGTGATTCTTTAAAGACTCGGGGAGTGAATACTCGGTCAATACACGTAAGATGCATTTCAAGAATCTTGCCTCCATTTTAAGTATCCGGTAGTGGCATTCATCATGGACGCCAACATAAAATTCACCCATTAAATCATTTGACCAAGTGTACCAGTATGTCGTGCTCAGTTCCATTTCAAGCTTTTGAAGGACGAGGACAATGGTGTAACTGAAAGGAAAACTTCAATTTTAGGACTGCAACTATGCACAATGTTCATTCTTAAAAAAATAATTAAATTATGCCAATTTGGTTTTGACCTATTTTTCAAAGTATTCTCCATAACACTTACGTTCCAAAGCAGACTTTCCCACTAAGATTTCATGTTGAATACGTATATTAGTTATTGTTATACATCAATAATTGTCTAAAATTGTCTAAAGGCAAATCCGTCTATTTGCATTCTAAATTACAGTTTTGCTATAAAGATGGACACTATATATCCAGGAAGCATTTGCAAATATGTTTCAACATCAACAGAGAGAAGGAGATAGTTAAACCAAAAACAGCATCTAACAGCAGTGTCTAAAATAGCTCTGTTTATTACCCCCTCTGTCACAATTTCCACTTTTTGGTCTATATTTAGAACGGCAAAGGGCTATATTTGTCCCTCTACTTTCAAATATTGCTTATATCTATCCTCCGTTATACTATTCAAATCTATATACCCTTACTGTCACTTTTGAGCAGGAATACCCCTCTACCATTAAAACACCCGGATCCACCAATTAAATGAACACGTGGAGGGCTATAAACATATTTGTTACCCAATTCATTTTGCAAAACCCAACCATTAATTCGTAATCCATTTAGCCGACCCAAAGACCATTAGCCCTTCACTTATCCTTAATCCAAAGCTAATGATAAATAAGCACATTTCGTAAAAATGTGGAATGTTTATATGGAAGTTCTCATTTAAATTTTCACTGCTGCAATCAACGACAAAAACTTACCTCGACAACAAGTATTAGCCCTCCGGGTCGGATCTGGGATCGCCCAAGTATTTTCCGATGATGGTCTCTATGGTTTGATGAAGAGCTTCAGGATGTTGCTCTTCTATTTTTGACTCTAACAATTGTCCGAAGGTCTTCTTGTATGAGTTTTTTAAAAGTGGTTTTGAAAAGCAAATGAAAAGGAAGACAAAGAGTTGACCAAAATCAAACCCAAGTCGGGTGAAATTGGAAAGTGAAAGGGTGGGTAAGGGTAACCCATGTTAGTCTTGAGAATTTTAGACATTTAAAATAAAATAAGGTAAATGAAATGAATGGAGAAAAAGAAAGTAGAAGCATGTTACATAAATCAGAGAAAAAGGAAACAAATTACTGACGAACAAAGAGCTACACACCTTACACGTGAAATTTCTTTAGCCTTCAAATCGCTAATTAGAGATAGTTGTCATAAGCTTAACTCAACAGATGTGAGAGAGTGTAGACTGATGAGTAAACTTATTGACATGAGAGAATAAAAGGAGCTCATGCTGATGAATATTTAAAAAAGTGAAAAATAAATAAATCACTATAACCACAAGAAATGTTATTTTTTATATTTATACCTAATAATTTTTTTTCCTGTTATATATATATATATATATGTATATATATATATATATATATATACATATATCAGTGCCGGCTAAAGCATAAGGCAAGTAAAGCAAGTGCTTTAGGCCCAAAAATTTAGGGCCCCCATTTTTCACTAGTAGGTATATGAATTAATTTTTTAAATAAACTAAAAAAATAAACCTTCAAAATTTCGAACAATTAGAAGCGTATAAAAATATTTTTTGTTTCATATTTAGAGGTCTAAGAATTTGATATAACTAGGTGGCGAGATTTTGGAAATACATTGCCTTAACGATCAAAAATATTGATGGTTTAGACTTATTTTTTGAATTAAAAGTATTAAAGAAAGATAAAAAAAAAAGTAAAAGATAATACTCTAATTAATATACTCAATCATATAAAAAGACTTGCTTCTTTTCTAAATGCCTATATTATTTATATAATAATGTTAACCATAAAGAGGTAAAATGGATTAAATTTTTTTTTTTATAGAAAAAACTACTTAAGGCCACTCATCAAGGTTTGGCTTTAGGCCACGATTTTGTT